ACAATTCAGACCTGGGATCTCGTACCGATATATGCAAGATGCAGTTATAAGGTAAAAGGTAAAGTTGTGCCTGTGCTTAATCAAGCACCTCGCCATGAAGAACATGGTGCTGTACCTAAACTGGTTATGTTTATTTCGTAACCGACTGAACGTCCGTATTATCATGCCAAAAACTGTTATCGGTCCGTTGCTCAAAAATTAATACGCGTCTATACGGTTAGAAGTATACGTGAGTTCGGATCCCACTGTACAGTGTAATTCTTTTAATAAATTAATATTAAAATAGTATATAGAAACCAGTATACTGTCACGTTTTTATGGGTGCGTGACTATACACGAGGGTTTTGGATTACTGGATTTATTGACCACTTATGGGTCGTACTACAAACAACTATACCACTATCGCTATTTCCACACTTTGCAGTTCACTGTTACTCGTACACACACTAGTGTCGTTAGTCTATAACAGACTCCACCATCCGTTTCCTGGCAACGGATTCTAACACAGGAAATATGACAGTCTAAACTGAAATATGAGCATAGAACACGTATGGTCTTCTCTTCACAGCCCGACTGCCAACTGAACTCATAACGCCATTTTCTCAATTTTCGACTAACTGCTCTCCTGTAACTCAGGAACTCGAATGCCGATTCTCAGCTGAACTGTCCTTTATAACCATTTTGCACGGACCGAGAACAGAACATCGTTCCCAACAATTCCTCTATCGTTGCTTGCGTATCCATTACAATGGTAACTTGTTTGCCGAGCCCTTGCTTAGCAATGGACTTCTCTGACTCCACTACTCCAGCCTTCAGACATCATGTCACATTATATATGGTTCACTTTGGGGACAATATTCATGCATAAAAACAAATAAGGGTGAAATTAAGCAAAGAAAATTTTATGACGGATCTTGCCATGCGCAATAAAACTAATTTATGAAGAAAGAGTGGAGGCACTGTTCTTCACCCAGGATACTTCTGGTGCTTTATTTCTCATCCATCTGGAGTAAAAAGAGAACTCATACCCTGAAGATGGAGGCAGCAGGGGCGTTGCTCAAAACGTCGGTATCCATCTACCAGACCACACGGCGTAACATCTCAGTGGACAGAAATTTTTATTCATGCAATTAAAAATGACTGGGACTTAGGATTCGAACGGCATCCAGGAACTGTGCCGCAAGAGGCTTACCAGCACCGGCCAGAGCACGTAGTGGTAACAGTAAGCAGCAAATTTCACTACACATACATATACAAACAAGAGAAACTCCGTGGCCTGTAGTCCGCCAGGGAACTATACCGACCGAGCGACCGCCGCTTGTCGGCGAAGATAGGGCCAAGTTTTGCGGATAGAGCGTGTCACGTGGTCAGCGCAACGAATCCCCACGGCCGTTAATCTCGGTTTTCTAGGACCGGAGCCGCTATTCCCTTGAAATGCTCCTCAATTATCCTCACGAGGCTGAGTAGACCCCGTTCCAGACCCACTACTTCTCAGAAAATCTGGTGGCGCTGAGAACCGAACCTGGGACCTCTGCATCTGTAGTCAGAAACTCTGACCACTAGACCACAGATATATATATATATATATATATATATATATATATATATATATATATATNCTTCTCAGAAAATCTGGTGGCGCTGAGAACCGAACCTGGGGTTCTCAACGTCGTCCAGACCGGATCTTGGGCCTACCAAGCCTCTCATACAACGTGTACCCGGGGCCATTTCCCCGGGGGTAAAGCGACCGGGGCGTGAAGCTGATCACTCACCTCAAACTAGTGGCGAGGTCAAGAAATATGGATCTACACATACACTTCCCCAAACGTCTTCACTGCGTGGTGATAAATTAGTTAAGCATAGGGACAACTTGATTTGTATATTTATATAAAGGTCATCAATTTCAATTAAGTCGAGTGCCTTCCCTGCGAACATTCTTCGTCCTGTGTTCGTTGGTTATACTGTAAACGTATCATACTGAAGGACACTTTAACACATAATCTGAAGTAAAACGGGGGAAAAGCAACGAGACACGTGAAGCTGAACGTTTCGACAGCCTCAGGATGGATTATTTCCTACCGTCGCTTGTCAGCTTAGTTTTGTTTATTTTCATTAGCAGCCAAAATAGGCACGTGGCATACAGGAAGCGTATAACGGACAAGTAGAAGTGAATGCAAGGGATTATAACTTACTGATTAGCATTTCATGCAGCAACGTATCCGTCCAGACGCATTCTTAGGACCCCTACGCGGTTACTCTACTAAGGAATCCACTCCTCTTAAGCGTACGTCGCCATGTATTGTCATTGCCAACTGTGTGGGTCGAATACCTCCACCGTGAACCTGTCAGTCGTAGGAGGCGACGAAAAGGTAAGTCTCAAATCTGAAGCAGTAAAATGTGGTCGCGAGTGCCAAGGGACTCGGACCCTAGAAAGACTGCGCTGGCAAGACCAGGAGAATATATAGAAGACAGACCTGTCCTCTCGTCAGAGAGGGCACCCCACAAAAGCAAAACTGTAAATGTCAAATAGTAATACATAGCTGGTCATGAGCCCCAGATGGGGCTCGACACCAAGACTTACTGATTGACTGATCGTCAGTCGCAATGTGACTTCGTACTGAAGATTGGAACATCAGAGTATTGAGAACGAGACAGTCTTGGAACAGCCGCTGCTAGAGACAGTTGAGATCCAACCACGGCCAAGGATAGTTGAGACGTCGCAATGGAGTATTGGGCCAGAAGTCAAGTGATAATAATTGTAAGGTGTGTAAGAGTGAATGTTCAATAAAGATTCGCTAAATCCGAGACCCACGTGAAGTTANCAGAAATGCAGTATGAAAGCAGAAGACTGTCTCTTGTGTAACTTTTATGGAGTTACATGGGAGAAAGATGATATTGTATGTGTTGGGAGAGAGATGATGGAAGAAAGCAGTGATGAATTTCAGGATTCTTAAAGTAACTCATTTTCTATCAAGTCTTATGTCGAAACCCCCTAATCATATTCTAAACAAAGACAGCCTCATTTATATCAATATACCATTAGTTCATCCTTTGCAATATAAAAATTCTATCGCGTATTTGTATGGAACAGTTTTATACTAGTTAAAAATAATAATAAAAATAAATTCAAATATATCTGAGGCATTGTAAGGCAGACACAAATGCATTGTTTTCATCAACCATTAGAATTTATAAGCAGCTTAAAATTTTATTTTATAGCTTTTGTCAGGAATGATTAGAATATGTATTAAACAATAAATATTATATAAGATATTCGTAACGAAACTCAGATTAAAGAATAAATAAACCAAAATGCAGATGCTGTGTGTCTGCCTTATAAAGCCTAGATAAATGTTATATTATTGTTAGAAATTCTAGTCCAGGCAGTTCTAATTTCATTTCAAAGTTCTTTGTTATTGGAATTCTTCAACAGTGTCACGTAATATCAAACTTAAGGCATTGCCCCACATCACGCAATCACAGTCATATTACGTTTGTTACGCTTTAACTCATTCAGTCTGTAGTCCATCTGAATGATATTAAAATGCAATTCCTGCTACACGGAAATCACACTACGTCTCTGTTATCAAGAGCAACCTGACTCATACTGTTATATTTCAGCATCCTGTTACACTGTACAGATCTAAATTAGGAGTTTTGTGCTGTCCATGTTCAACATCGTTCATTATTCCTTCTTCTTCCTTTATGGACACTACACGTTTGGGCCATAAGGCCATCTTCAGGTGTCTTAACTATGCTGCAACTGCTACACTGTACTAATATTGTTCATTCGTCGCATTTGCCACTGCGCGCTTCATGATTTAAATCGATATACTAGTAGTCAATTGGTATGCGCTAAAATAGCACACCCTGTAGTTCACGCTTAACGTGTAGAATAAAAGGAGCCCGATCGCTGCCATGCAGCAATGCAGTGAAACCTCCCTAATCCGGCTACATCTAATTCGGATCGAAATACGGCAAATGAAAATGCTGTTCGCAGTTGAGTTAGGAAAGCTAAAGTTGCCCCTGTGTGTAATGCATTAAGAACTACGCCGTGGTTAATTCTACACGTTAAAAAATCCTCGTGAAGCAGGAATCACAAATGCTGGCCTTGTCTTGTGAGGCGAGAGACATGCATATGCTTGGCTAGCTGTATTTGTTTAAACACGACTGTAACAGTTGCAGTGATGAGGCGGTCCCAACAATTGCACTTTCTTACTCACGTTAACGCTGAATGCAACAGCAGCATACAGGACGTTCGTCCCCTATTTGCCGCTTCTTTCGGGACACACGATTATTCTAGGTATGAATCCATTTACCGATACATGCCGCAGGATACGGTCTTCTTCAGTTCTATTTTTATGACTTCCCGCTTCCCAAACCGTTATAAATGGGCCTGTAACACCGCCAAACGTCATATAATCCTCTTCCTTCCTCACTAATTTTGTGCTTGGAGCTCAATCAGAGACCCAAGAACTAAACTGTCTGTACATTCACTCCCAGGCCTTCCTACGTCTCCCGTTTCGTGTTGCAGCACATGGATAAGGATTTTAAGGGGTCCCTGTGTTCCTGTATTCTGTCTATTTTTCTTCTTAAAGTAAGCGATTATTTTTGTTAAAATAAACAGAAGGCCAGATCGAACTGCGTATTGCATAACTACACACTCTCCATCAGATACAGTTAGGGCATTCACATACATATGATGTGTGTGGGACATGTAAAAAGTCTATAAGACGTGATAAATTTATAAAAAAATTTACTTAGATAAGGTCTTGGCGGAAGTAAAATATTATTACATAACGCCTAAAAGTCGAAATCGTGGACACCGCGACTCTATAACGCATGCGTTGCTACGCAACCAGACAGTAAACACTTCTCGGCAACCTCCCCTCTGCAGTGGAGCTGTTACGCAGATGTACTGTGACGTCACAGGTGCCAGTTGCTGGAGTATAAAGGCAGCTGCGAACGTACTGGCCGTCACTCGCAACTTGACTTCGACTTTGAGTTGTCACAGAAGCCAGCACGGAGAGGACTGAGGCAACAAGCAGAATCAGCATTTCCGGAAGCCATTACTACGAACTGTGAGGTGAGAATACAACAGATATTTAAGGCTGCAGTTATTTCTAGACGGTATAGAACAGTGAAAGTGTTGCAATTATTTGTAGTTACGAATGTCAGATGTCCAGTCCAGTCAGTAATACGAGAAGATATTTAACTTTAACCTTAAGGAAATAAGGTGTGTGGATGTGGATTGGGTTCAGCTGGACACAGTTAGCTCTAACCAGTGGACTCATGTACAGAATCTCGTATGTGCACTTTATTGTTTTATGTGGCTTGTTTAACGACGCCGTCAGGATTTCAGACTGTAGGCTATAGGGTCAAGCGATGGAATGACTAATGAATAATTAATTGGAAAGGATTAGGAAGGAAGCAGACTTTCCTCCGATCGAGGTACTATCGTAGCATTTCCCTTAGGGACTGAGAACAAATATGAAACACTTCAGTGCGGAAAGCTGGTGTCCGGGTCGAGATTCGAACCCAACACCTCCAACATACAGGTTTAGAGCGTTACAGCTGCACGAGTCTGCTCCGTCTGTTCTTTTTTCATTCTTAATTACGATCCACGCATTGCTTTCATAACTTTATTTCGGTCTGCATATATTACAGGATATTGCTTAACAGTTTTACCGTGGTTAAAGTGCGACTTCCGTTTCTTGTTTAACTGTACTCTCGGACCGACTCTAAAGGGTTCTACTGATGGGGTGTAGCATTCGGGATTTCTGAAATTGTTAGCCTACTACCTTATTTTTAATTATTATAGTAGGTCTATGAGGTCACCTTGCTTTCTGTCTGTATGTGTATTCCTCCCGCAATTAACTTCTTAATGGCTCAACCAATCTTAATGAAACTTCGTACATACATCCTGCCACCTGAGTCGGTTTCAACGGTGCCATTCATGAATCCTTCACACGAGTAATACCAACATTACAGGCTCTGAAATTTCTGACAACAAACCTTAATATTTCTTGATCTATATGAATCTTCATGAAACTTCGTAAGGATGTCATGTCCTATGAAGCCATCTCAACTACGTACATCATCATAAATTCCCCCATCATCAATACCAACATTTTAGCTTCTCAGAGCTCCGAGAGAAACGCTTAATATTTCTCTAACGCCTGTACCGATCTTCATGGAACTGGGTGTGTATATATTGTGGCGTTGAGCCACAGAAATATGTAAACACGGCAGTTACGCAACAATAAGGAAACCGGTGTTTTCTGCGTTCTGAGCCAAGCCCAGCCGCACCGCGCTGGCTGCTGCGCAGCATTGCCTAGCAACGCCTCTGTAAACACGGCGATTACCTAGCAGAGGGCAAGCTGTGTATTCCACTTGTCTGATTGAGGGTGCGTGCAACAGTGAATTATGGAGCGTGTGTAAATCAGCAATATCGCTGTATTTAAGTGTAATTAACAGAGCGTGTAACCAAAGTGTTAATAAATCCAATCACCCGAACTAGAACCCGTCATTTCTTCACGCATACCATCCTACACGTGACAATATCATGCCATCTGAAGCCATCTCAACGGTTTACATTACACAGGCCAACAGCTCTTTTGGTGCCGGGGTATTTGGAGCTGATTTCATATGAATTTGATGCCCTGAATTCAAATATGGCATTAGTTTTTGCCTAGGAGCTCAAATTTTTAAGATATAACATTTTGGTGAAATATACGTTACACTATTTTAAGTTAAATCAGTGGATCAAATAAAAAAACTCAACATGGAATTTTTATTACTATATTATAATTATATTTTTATTTTATTATATTAAATACAAAGATAGAGGAAAAAATCATCGACTATATATAACAGTCAAACCAACTATAGTCACGGAACACTACGGAAGCTTCTTTTTCGTGACTTTCTTGAATGTATTTTAGAACAGTCCCTTTTTAAACTCCAGCAGTAATCTGCCATCATGTGTGTATCCCATCTTCCTTGGTAGCGGTCCTCCATAGTTTTAATATCCTGGTGAAATCTTTCACCTTGTTCCTCACT